CTCTCTCTCTCTCTCTCTCTCTCTCTCTCTCTCTCTCTCCCTTTTCCCTCCCTTGCTCCCTCCCTCTCCCCTTCTCTCCTACACCAGCCCCTCGGCTCATCTCATCATCACCCCCCCCCCTCCCGGTTTCCAACGACTTTTCCAACAACTTTTATAGCACTCTTTAATAGCACCCTGGCTTCTCAAACACCATCTCAAATGCCATCAACACCCATCGTCTCTAACACCCATCGTCTCTAACACCCATCGTCTCTAACACCCATCGTCTCTAACACCCATCGTCTCTAACACCCGTTTCTAACACCCATCTCTATCTTTCAGGGCCGTCTGACACGCACTTACAACCGGACCGCCAACCAGCCTCTGGCGGCTCTGATCCCACGGCAGCGTCTCACATATCTTCTGCAAACCACGCATCACCAGGACTTGGTTCCAAGGATGGGCCGAATCCTAACCCAGTCGTGTCGGGAGGTGAGGGTGCTCCAGTCAACGATGCGACGCATATGGGAGGCGTAGAAAAAGGAAATGATCAGAAGACTGTCGATGGTGAGATTCATTCAGAACAGGGAGAAAATCAAGCTCTTGGAGCGGAATCGTCGTCGGTGAAAGAAGATCCAGAGAAAGTGGGAAAAGAAGATGTTCAGGGATTGCAGGAGGCGATGGAAAAAACGCAGGGGAATGGAGAGACGGTAGACGCCGGAAAGACAGTTGAAGAGACGGATAAGACGGGAATTAAGACGGAAGCGGGAATGAAAACAGAGAATGGAGAGAAGAGCAAGACAGAAACTGACGCGAAACCGGCAGAAAATAAGACAAGTGCTGCTGAAGAAGAAGTACCAACGGGAGAAGGAAATGACACCAAACAGTCCGAGGAGGGTGAAACAGCCACGGCTACAGAGAAACTGCCACCAGTTTCAGAAGATTTACCGGCGGGTGATACACAAGAGGTTGGACAGGGAAGTGTACAGGAGGGACAGGGGTCTGTACAGGAAGGAGAACAAGCTGCTGGACAGGGGTCTGTACAGGATGCTGTGCTTGAAGGTCAGGGAGATGCACAAGAGGCAGGACAGGGATCTGCGCAGGAGGCGCCGCCGACAAGACCGATTGTCAATGCTCCATCGACAAATGATAAAGGTGAGTAGTGAGTACTGAGTTATATAGTGAATGAGTAGGTATTATGCTCTAAGTGTTATTTATTATTGATAATTACCAGAATAATTGGTATAGTGTGTGGGCCATTACGTATTGAAGATGAGAACTGAATGATGTTTGTTGGTTTGCTGAATCTCGAGTACTTGAGTAGTATTTTATGCCGGAGTGTGGTTTTGTTTGTGGGGCATAGTTCCTCATATTTCTTTTTTGGATTCAGTCAGTTCTCTCGCTCATGTTTCACTTTTTAACAGCGACGGCTGAGGAGAACAGCTATGAACTTACGAGACATTTCACATCCAGAAATACAGAGTGACCAAAAACTATGGAATTCCAGAGACCTTAGTTACGCCAGTAAGAAAGTCGATTAGTTGGGAGTAATGGCCCTACCTGGCGCGAAGAAGGGGACACCCGGCCGGAGGACCTGCCTGTCGATCACTGCTCTATAATGTTCCGCTCTTTTTCACAGTACCTGTGGAGGACAGCTACGAGACAGGAGGTGACGGCCCACCACTGGACGACGATTTCTCCATCAATGAGCCGCAGCCAGTGTATAAAGGTAGGAGATACAGCGGGAGATACAAATATTGTATTTCGTTATTGGTCTCGAGAATGAGCCTTTGTTGGTTAAATGAATGGATACAGCTAGAGATGCAGATACTGCACGCAGTAATATGGAAGAAGCACTGTTACAAATACAGATATGTATTTCGTTGTTACTTTTTGGTCTCAATTTTGAAGGCATATTTTACAAAGGGGTGATTCAGGGTTACAGATAGGTATAGATATTGTGTAAAGTTGTTAGAGACATACAATAACAAAATAACTAACTGATAACGCGGCTCGTATTCTCACTCATCTCCGTGTGAGCAGCGGATGCCAGTTAGAGTTTCTGTTTTTTAATAGGCTGTCGCATACGATTTCCCATCCTCCCAAAGTCTTTTTCAATCTCCCATGACCATTAACTCGTGATCTCGCCCCTTCTATGGATATTGGATACGCCACCCGCCTAAAGAGTCTCTTTCAGTGACCACTAACCCTGCGTTCGACATCTTTGAGGGATAATTATCCGGGATCACCGGTGATTATTTGGTATTGCAGGGATCACCGATGCAATCAGTCATATTTTTATGTTGATCTTGCTCCACAGATGCCTCTTTTACTCGTTGTCATGTCCACTGCACACGGTGTCAGCCTAAAACACCACATGCTCTCGGTGATCCCGGAAAATTATCCCTCATCATCCAGATGCCGAACGCACGCTAAGTCGAGACCTCACCCTCCGACAGACACCCCACAAGTGGGCCCGATCGCCCAGCAGCCTATCGGTGGTTCATACATCTCCGGAGCGGTGCCAGCCCAGACGGCTGACTCAAACTTCTTCGCGTACTTCCTGACGGCCGTGGTGCTCTGTATAGTGCTCTATCTGGCGTTCCACAACAAACAAAAGGTGAGTTATGATGGCATGTATGGCGTTCCACAACCAACGAAAGGTAAGATACAACGTCTACTAAACAGAGGTGGTGTTGGGTATAGTGCTCTATCTGGTGTTCCACAACAAACAAAAGGTAAACATCGACGGTATGTCTGGCCTTTCACAGCAAACAAAAGGTAAGGTATTCTTACGACTTAATCTGGTGTTCCACGAAAAAGGTAAAAAGACTGGTCAACCTACCTTTACTGTGTGTAGCGCCATTTATATGCTCGTACTGCAGCTCCTCGCACAGTCCTCTGTGCATATTTACACCTCATACGGATGTAAGAACTGGGCACGTATGTACCCATACACTCAATATGCGTGTAACTCAACCCCTCCCCCTCAATCGGCGCAACATTCTTGATCTATGACTAATGTGTGTACCTTGCAACTCCGATGCCCGTGTTTCTTCCATATGTGTAAACCATGAAACACTGACGTACGGTGCATATATTTATGTACATGAGTGTCCACCTACACCCTATATGCGTGTAACCCTACCCCCTTCTCTCCCCCCCCCCCCACAGATTCTGGCGCTCGTTATCGAAGGGCGTTCGTCGTCCGGCCGTCGGAGACCGCACTCCTCGCAGTATCGGCGACTCGACAACAGTCTAGAAGAGGCGATCAGCTCGCAACAGAGGAGAGAAGTGGCGAGCAGTATTGTGTATTGATGGGGTGATGGAAAGGTGATGTGTTGATGTGAGGTGATGGAAAGGTGATGTGGGGGTGATGTGGGGTGTATATTGTATGATGATAATGAGAGATGAGCTGATGTGATGGGTAGTATTGTGTATTGGTGGGGTGATGGAAAGGTGATGTAGGGATGTTGTGTGTATGACGTGTGGTGGTGTGTACTGTGTGATAAGTTGATGACGTGAGTAGCATTGTATGCTGATGGGGTGATCTGGCGTTGATGTGAAAGCTGATGTTTGTGATGTATGGTGATGTATACTGAATCACTGATGTCTGAGGTGGTTAAGATTGTGTGCTTGTGGGGATGATATGACCTGATGTGTACTTGTGACGTGTGGGGAGTATGTCGACTGATGTTTGATAGACTGATGTGGCGAGTTGTTAGAAGGATGATGTGATGATGTATCGGAGTCGGATGATGTGCATGAAGGGAAGAGGCTCACAAACTGATGAAATGGCGTCAGGTGATGTGAGCTGACGTGTACTGAAGGTCAGCAGCATCGAGTTTTGTTTAATGATGTCCTATCGGTCAAAATCCTCCGCAGAAACATTTGAATAACGAACCTGGCATCTGGACACTATTTTCTTGTTTACTTGTTATCAACAACTGATGCATAGCACGAAACAAAACGCTTAGAAATGGTAACTTAATGGTTTGTGATACAGACCTGTAGCATAATTGTGATGCTAAGAGATGTGATTATCAGTCCAAGCAAGTTGTTTGTCATAATTATCACGTGTGATGATGAAAGCAAGTGTTGGGTTATAGGAGACTGATGGGTTTACTTTTTTGCTCATTACGGGGTATGTCTAATGAAAATGTCACATGTAATGGGCATGCATGGTGCATTTTCTCGTAGTGATTTCGTTTGTGATTCATGTTTGAAGCCAGTTGAAGCGTAGCATTTTGTAAACAAAAGTGGTACCGATAGACAAAGCGCCCCTATGTTATAAGTTATAACAAAAAAGTGCGGTGTTTTTATTGATTTGTGGCAATTTAGTGTTGGTGTCGGTTTTTTTGTGCATTCTTTTTGTGTTTTCTCAGAATGTGGCCTTGGTTAATTAGAAACACTCGGGTGTAAATTTTGTGTTGGCTTTTTTCGTAGCGTCGTACTTCGCTGGTTTTGGTTTTCAGTGTATATGTGCCAGTTGTGTACTCTGTTTCTATTATCGTTACCCTATGCTTCGTTGTTTGATGAATACTAGGTATCTGTAGTTGTCAATGATGAGAACTACATTACGATTGTCTACTCTGGCTTGTGGTGATTATGTCGCGTTACAGGGTGCTTTACTCTGCTTATAGTTCACTTTGTAGTCGCAAGAGGCGCTAGTGAGCAAACTGCAAATTGTGTGTTTGCTGCTATTGTTGCTGGGACCAGCTTAGCTTATCGTTTCAAACTTACATAGAGGCTAGAGCTATTCACCCCTCCTATGCTGTTGAGAATGCTGATGAGAATTAAGCTAGTTCCTAGCTATCCCTACTGATCTCTTTTGAGAACTCGGTAAATCTTTGGCTGAGAAATTGCCGTTTTTTTCGCAGAAAATCATGGGTGTTCTCTCCCCTCCCCCCCCCCCGGTAAGCCTTTCCATGGGGGCATTATTTCATCGATCGTATTCCTCCTTTGTTCTTCTCATTTCACTTTCACCCTTGCCCTGAGTGAACTTGCTCGAGTGTGACCGTGAGTTTTCCACTGCACGTGTTCTTTCTTTGATGTGTACGTTTCGAGAGCCGTGACGCTGTGCTGTGATTGGCTCGTTTGTTGGTCACGTGACCCATTGGGCTGACGGTTTTCTGGCAAATGGCAATTGGCATTGACTTTATGTAGTTTTCAATACACAATACTGTATAAGAGATGTGGTTTGCTTTGGACGGTTACCGGAGAGTGGACGGATATCCGGGTTCGATTCCCAGGGAAGGCGAATGCTTTTGTTTTGTCGTTTCGGGAGAGGAAGATCAAGAGACAGGCAGGAAGGGACAGGATGAGAGAGGGGGGGCGAGAGACAGAGACAGAGACAGAGACAGAGACAGAGTCTTCCCTTAGCTTTTCATTCCTTGGCCCTGAAGTAAGCCTTTTGCAGGAGCGGATGGCATCAAGCATCAATAACCCAGCTCAAAACTTCCCTCTCTACCCATCCCTCCCTAATTCTCTACCCTGGGATCGCCTCTGGCAGTGGCTTCACCCCCGCGCCTCGTGGCTCGCTAATCGCTTGTGCAGCTCGGTCACTCCCGAATGTCCGTCAATCTAGCAGCAGATTGATATTCACGAACCTGCTGCGGGCAGTCAGATATTCGACCGGGCCGAATGTCTGACTGGGTGTCTGAATGTCCGAGCGCTGTTTGGTCACCATTGTTCATCAACAGGCTGCCAGCTTGCGGGCGTTTCTTGGCTTATCATTGGTGGATTTCACGTAGTCGACACTGTTCACAAATGGTAGGCCGAGAAATGCCAGCCAGTGGGTGACTTCCGTAAATGGCGAAGCCGGCAGCACGCGGATAAAACTAAGCTAAGACACCATCCAACAGCTTTTGGCATATCAACACCCTGCTCATTAAAGTGGCAACCGAAAAGAGCCAATAACCACGTGCGTTACCCGCCCTCCCCCACTCCAGCCCTGGGCGCGCCCCTGCCACTGACCTCGCCTGGGGGCACGGCCACCGCGCGATCAGCCGCCTCACGCCAGAAGCGCGCGAGACTTTCCCGCGCGAGGACTGTGTGTCTGAGGTCCCCTTCAACCGACCGGATTACTAAGCATCCTTTTCAACATTTTAGTCGTCAAGCAGGAAATCTCACTAAAAATCGCCGTGTCAACAACACGTCAACACGCCGTGTCAACATGCTGTGCAGACCGGATCTAACGCGTACGGCGCCTCCTGGAATGCTGTCACGTGCGTTAGATAACGCACGTGCGTGGCGAGACGCCCAGCCATCCAGTCATGAAGAGCCGGCTGCATGCGCCTCGAGCAAGTCCATGCCGCGATTGGTGAGTATTGTAGACATGGTATTATTAGCGAGAAATATGAGATTGTATTGTTGCAGTTTCAATATGCATGCTAGCCAGCACTTAGCGATATGGTGTTTTCATATTTGAAGTGCTGAGACTGCATATATTTGAAATGTAATTTTACATTCTTTTATCAGCAACCTCACCTTAAAGGAAATAGTTCACATTTTAACATGGGTTTTGAACTGGAATAGCAGTTCCGTAGCTTGGGCTGAGACGAGCATAAATCAGGAGCTTTTACAGCCCAACGATCACCCTAGGCAAAGATATTCTATTTCTCGTCCCGAAAAATGTGTCTTGCGTTGAGGATGTGTGCCTTGCATATATTCGCATCCAGTATGAAACGAGCATGGGTCCCGAAAATTCTTCAGAAACTAGAGAAATTATCTACGAGAACTCTAGAGAAATTCGCTCCAGTGAGGCGCTCCAGTAACAAAAGCACGAGCAGATCGCCCAAATGCCGGTGGCCGCGATAATTTTCAGTTTCTGAAGAATTTTCGGGACCCATGCTCTTTTCATACTGGATCGCGTGTGCCTTACAGAAACTGAAAAGTTCTTCCTATATCAAAAATGTAGAAAATAATCTTTTGTTGTAAAAAGGTTTTATTTTCTTTGCTGATCATTTTGAACATAAAAAATCACAAATCCATTGCAAAAAAAAATAATTTCGTGAAAGTGAACTATTTCCTTTAAGTATCTGAGGAACGTAATCACTGATCACATCCTTTACATAGATTGCGCAACATGCGTACTCTGCTCTAATTTGTGGCTAGACATTTTACTAGCCGCGTTCCTCATGTTGCCAATTTTTTTTTTCAATCATGGCGAATGCTTGAAACTGAGCGCCAATAAATTCATAAATATTATATTCGTGCTAATAACTCAATTAAAAATAACACAATTTTCCAGTATTCTCTACACTTTTTAAAAATCGTAAATAAAAGTTTCCGTATACGGCGGCGCTGGCAGTAACTACGGTAACGCGTTGGAGTCAGGCTGGCACGGTCCGCCGACATCAAAACAACGGTGCGTCAGCTGATTATTGGTCCTCCGATTCAGGAGAAATTATTAACGCGGGAACGCCGGCGCTAAATAAAGGCGGTAGGATTCACGGCTTCGCATGATCGTGTGCAATATTTTTTTCATAGTATCAAGCGAGGGGTATTGCTGGAGTTTTGCAAATAAATATTTTGTTATCAGTTTGGCTATGCGATCGTGAACACTTTATTTTCATAGATACGATATGAAACAGGATAAACAGGCCAACCCAAGGCTTATGTAGGCCAACCTTGGACTTCGCATAGCCATGGACATTGCGTAGGAAGGTACTCGCCGATCGTACCACGATACCACGGGCAAGATATCAGACTTTTGGGAGTTTTGTGTCGCTGAAATGTATTTTAAGTGCTAAGAAGGAAAATAATTCAATTTAATGTCATGGACAATGGACATTTAGCCATTCCAAGCATATAATTTGCCTGGCTTCGACAACCAGATAGCCAGGTTTATTTCAAGAGCTTCTAAAGAGGTAGTGAATTCAATATCGTTTCTATTACATTTATTTGATAATCCTACATATCAGTAAACCTGCCACGCTATCATTCTCGGCGAGCGAAGCGATTACCGGCACATCGTACCAATGCCAATGCAGCGTCGAGCGTCCGATGGTTTACGATAGGAATTATAACAATAGTTTTAAACTAGCGCTTTTTAGAACCATGGTCCGAAATGGTAATTCAAAGAACCTCTTCCCCTTTCAACTCACCTGAAAAAGCTGCTTTCGTGTACCACCCAGCACCCGTTTCGTAGATATATCAAAATGATAACCGGAGGCGAAGATTATCTTTATGATCTACCACGATTCGTGGGGCTGACTAGTACCGACGGGGATCCCACAAACACGACGGTCACATTCATTAAGCATGATGTACGGCGTAAAGCACCACAACTCGGCCCCAAAAGCGCAACCTTCTGAGATATCTTATATTTAGTTTCAAGGCTGGTACTGGTGCAGTTTCAATGCTGGTACTCTGCTCATTTCTGTTCAATGAAGTTATTTCTCGCTTAAATGCGCCTCACATTAATCGTGTGCTGTGCTCCACAATCATTGCGCCGCGCGCTCTTCCTTCTTATCGGCCCCCTTGAGATCGTATCCATCAATATCTATTTGCTTCTAAGTTCTAATGACTTGTAGAGAAGCAATTTTAGAGCGTTTAACAAAATAATTGCATAACGAGCGATGGGAAAAGCCCAATCGTCCAACTCATAAAAAACATTGGGACACAAACAACTGGAAACTGTTGGTAGTTGGTACTTTCGCGCATAGGCGGCGGAACGGGGAGGGCACCGGGGCACCGTGCCCCCCTTTGATTTTGGCATTTTAACATGGGCTCTATGGGCGTTACATGGAAAGAATGGGACCAAAAGTCGGCAGTGCCCCCCCCCCCCTTCCCCAGTTGAGCTGGGCGCAGGTACTAAATAGCATCAAAGGAAATCCTATATTCATCTCGCCGCAGGGTTGGTGACTTATGTACTGAGTTCGGCTGGCTGACAGCGATGTGACTTCAGGACCGGTTGATGAACGGGCCATCCTAGCCCCATACTACAGGAGCCCAGCTGGTCTTGGCGAGCGGCGGCGACTGGACGAGGCTGGACCCCTACTACAGGAGCCCAGCTGGTGCTGACGAGCGGCGGTTACTGGACGAACGGGTCAGCCTGGACCCCTATTGCAGGAGTCCGGCTGGTCTTGGCGAGCGGCGACGACTGGACGAGGCTGGACTCCTACTGCAGGAGTCGAGCTGGTCCTGTCGAGGAAATAGTTCACCTTTAACATGGGATTTTAAACTGAGATAGCAGTCTGATAGAGCAGATTTGTGTATGCCTTATATTTGAACCGTTTGAGATATTCACCTTTTATCAGTGAATATTGGTGCTTAAATTCATGTTCTAGTGCTCATTTACAGCAAGCAGAAACCTCTTCAACACACACAGTGGCCAATCAGCGATGAGAGCACTTACAGGAGCAGAATCCCTTGCAGCTGATAGGTTGTTCAGCTGTTAGTGTTCACTCTAATCATTAAAATAATGAAATCCCTTTAGAAGAAGTGTGTAATTCCAAGTTAGAATACATTTAAATTTTATTCATCACATTTTTAACACACCTTTTTAAATTTTATTCATCAAGTTACAGAAGGTGAACAATTTCTTTTAACACTTACCTTGCTTCAATGGTGACATGTAGCTCTTGCAGCAGAGAAGGCACAGCATTTGGCTGCAACTTCAAATATTTACTTGTTGCTATCAATTATTCAGTTTTGAAATGCATACAGGTAGGTACAGTGAATCTTGGGTTCTCCTGTAAGAATGCCGACCGCAGAAGCAGAAGTTCATCCAAAGCTTGCGCCTGAAAAAGGGCCAGGTTTAATTATCATTATACCATAATCACATTTTTGCCTAATTTGTAAGAAATAGGTTTAGGTTAGCAGAAATAGGTAAGGTTTTGACTAGACCCCCAGGGTCACAACAGGAGATGACCCCCGTGATTGGTGGGACCACCAGGCAACAGCACTGGCACAGTCCGTTCTGACCACCGCACACCTATCAGCCACATTTAAAATGCACTACACTACATCCCCCACCACCTGACCACACCAGACCAAATCTGCACCACGCTACACAAAATCCGCACTGCACCAAGCTAAATCCACGCCACACCAAAGCCTCACCAGCCGGACAAGCCAGCACAGACGAGATCTTGTCGAAATTGCCATGCTTTGCAGAGTGCATACGGGCCTACCTGAACCTGACCTTACCCAACATATGAGCCTGACTGTCCTTAGCACTGGGAGCTCATTGAGACCAGGCCCCACAAGCCTAGTGGCCTCCTGAAACCTGATTTCCATATGGGGTCATTGGGGTGAGCTATTTAAGAATGGTGATCGGATATCGAACGTGAGACAAGACAGCAATGAGCAGTGGGCGGTTCATGCAACCATAATCATGTTTCCTTACCACAAGTATCAAAGCAAAATCAAAAATAGCTACCTATCGAATTCAAATTTCACTGGAACCTCACCTGCATGGATCTTAGGTGAAAGGATCTTGATACATCTGCACGAAAGATACATCTTGATCCACTCATCTCAATCTTGTTTTTCTGCATCCAGGGCATGCAACACGGTCAAGGCCGTATATAGGATATCGCTTCTGGTATTTTTGGCACCACACTCGACTGCTGAGCTCAAATGCAAATTGCAATCACGATCATAAAATACTGAATATTGAATCGCAATGTATATTCAGTCGATGTACCCCTCGTTCGATGTCTCTCAGACGACGAAGATTGTACGTCTACCGGCCAATCCCGTTCTAGATCAACGGGGGCTCGGCTGCAATTATGGAATGTGATTGGCCAAATGGCGTAGAATCTTTGTCGTCCGAAAAACATCGAACAAGAGTAATGTCGCTACTGCGCCATCGTTGCATCGAATTCGCCCCATAGAAGCACGTGTTAACTCTCTCCCATAGGGCCCTGGGTAAACTCTCTCCATAGGGTCCTGGGTAAACTCTCCCCTTGTCTATTTTCTTTAAACGGGGATAGTTTGGACAACAAAATATTTTCGACCTCATAAAAAATAAAACTTAATTTTTGATGTACCTCATTGATGCAAAACATCAGAAAAACATTAGAAATTAAGTCAAAGAAACCGATTGTGTATAAATGGACAGCTGACGGCATGCCTCCCGTGTCCCCTGGCTTGAAGCTTCGGCTCCGTGTTACCTTAGTATTCTATGACCGTGGTTGGAGTGGGGTCGTGTGTGCTGTTATCTGACGGATTCTTTGCGCAAAAAAGGGGCTCACAGTTGTTGGATGGCAGCTTTAGACGTTCAGAAAATGGAGGTAAGAAAAAATAAACCATTTAAAATAGTGCTAGTAACATTTTTAGCAGCATTTATCACGAAATTCCACCCGTTGAATCACGGCCATCTGGCTTGAGCGGTTGGACCGGCTAGTCCTTTTCACTAACTTCCTGGTTATATTTGTTGATGCTAGATGCTTTCGTTGTATTTTTGCATACGTCCTACGCTCTGATGTGCACCGTACAGATTAGTATTGCGAGAAATATGTAAAACAAGCATGCAACCTGTCTTGTGCGCCATATTTGTCTACTTATGTAGATTCGGGGAAAGTATGCCAAGAACTTTCACCTGGTGGCCGGTAATATCAGTATTTATTATATATCGATTTGTATTTAGTTATCTGGTGGTGTTCACTTAAGTTTCTGCTTAGAAATGTGTTGTTACACTGTCTTTAAGCCCTGGATGAGTCCTCTGACATTACACCAGCTTGCCTAATGCCTTCTTTCCCAGGCATGATATCATATCTAAACTTTTACCTTACACCCTGTGACCCTTTCCTCTTCCCCTCCAGCCTTTAGGTGACAGTCATCTGACAACAGGGTCTTGTTTCAGCTCATGTCACTACTTAATGCTATCAGACATTGGCACTGAGTTTCTATGGAAACATTAGCTAAAATAGATAATTCTGCTTACATTTCCATGAAAACTGAGTGCCAATGCCTCGTGTCATCAGGCCAAACTGGAAAAATGCACGCACAATGCCAGGTGTCTGAGGAGACATCTTATTCTCATGTGCCCAAATCTGGTGCAAGCAATTTTGTGCCAAAATTTTGGCATGTGCTGAAAGTTACATTTTACGTATGCCAAATTTCAACCGCTTTTACCATTTGAGCAAATACTCTTCCTTATCTATGCCATAAGTTTGATGGCATTCAACCATTAATGAGACTGGGTGAAAAGCAAGCTGAGCAAAAATGGTTTTCTACCAATATGTTCTTCTAAATAAGGAGGACATGCAGTCAGTTGATGTATGTAGTGCATAAATACGATACAATCGGGTGTGCCAGGCATTATGCATCCTCTTCCCACTCACCACTAAGTACTACAGGTTGCCGGGTCCATGGTGTATCCAGCCAGCTGTGCTGCTAGTTGCCAGATATCCTTGTGCGTCTGCACAACGCTGCATTCATGTGTGTGTGCGTGTGTGTACTGCACACATCTAACGGGGCCTGGGGTTTGGTCTTCCCCTCTGCCTGCATCGTCCTCCCTCTGATTCGAATGGCGCTACTTTCATGTGTAACTAGTCTAACGTGTAAACTTAGCTAAGGTTACGTCTTGTCATTTCGCACAGAAATTTATTTCTGAAACTGGATGCTGCGGCAAAATTTCAGCGCAATCCGTCCGTTCCGCCGGACATGTTGACGGTAAAATGTTTTTTCTGTCTGGACATCAGGCTGGGTCGTGTCGTGAAACAAGTTTAAAACTGGTTCTTACTCCAACCCCTCCCCATTCCCTGCAGCCTCCTCAGGTCCAAGAAGAGATGACTGAAGAGAAGTTAGCCACCCTCCCTCCGGAGCTGCTCGTCAAACACCCGTTACAGAACCCATGGACTCTGTGGTACTACGAGAACGACAAGTCCAGGACCTGGGAACAGAACCAGGTGGAAATCATCACAGTCAACTCCGTGGAGGACTTCTGGTCGTGAGTATACTTTCTGAGGGAGGCTGGGGCTGGATGGGGCTGTTCTGGTCGTGAGTATACTTTCTGAGGGAGGGCGGGGGCTGGATGCGGCTGTTCTGGTCGTGAGTATACTTTCTGAGGGAGGGCGGGGCTGGATGGGGCTGTTCTGGTCGTGAGTATACTTTCTGAGGGAGGCTGGGGCTGGATGGGGCTGTTCTGGTCGTGAGTATACTTTCTGAGGGAGGCTGGGGCTGGATGGGGCTGTTCTGGTCGTGAGTATACCGTAAAATGGGGCGACTTTGGACAGTTTTGAGACTTATCGGTGAATATCTTGAAAACTACTGTAGATAGGAATGTGAAACATAGACTATTTTGTGGGCTGAGTCTGGCCTTATCCATCCATGGTGTCAACAAAAAATTAGGTATAGCCATTTCCCTATTTTTTTAAAAAATGTCTGGTGTTCAAAGTCACCATGCAATGAGGTGACTTTGAACAGTCTGTGTTTTTCATCATTTATCTCATTAGGTGTGCAATTCCTCGTTCCGGTAGGGGTGGCTTTGAACACCCTGATGCTTTTTAACCCGCGCGGGGCTGGGGGGGTAAATTTTACCCCCCCTCGCGAATTTTTGCGATATCTCAAAAACGGCGGCGCGCAGCGCCGCCAAACTTTCAGTACCTTTTCTTACATCAATTTGACACGTTCCCTGAAATTTTGAGCGAAATCCGTCGGAAAATTTTTGAGAAATTGACGTTTTAGTGACGTCATGTTCGTCATTTTCGCCTCAAAAACGGCAAAAGTTCAAACGCCGCTAACATCTTCATTTTTAAAGGAATCAAGACGTAACAAAAAAGGCTATACGTAATTTTACTTTGTCTATCAAATGGCTATCTCGGTTTTTTGAAAATTTTGGATTTTGGCCTAAATTTTTTCAAAAAACTGACTTTTTTTGGGAAAATCATTATAAAATCCAAAATTTTGAGTCTATCGAAAAAACCGGAATATATGTCAGAGAAGTGGTCTATGTGCACCTACATACCAAATTTTAGAAGAATCGGTTCAAAAATGTGGGAGTTATTCAAAATTTTATGACGTCACGACACACAAAATTTTTGAAAAATGACTTTTTTGGAAGTTCCAGACCTCGTACGGAAACAAAAACAGCACCATTCGATTCGCCGTGAAAAACTGCATCAGATAGACACCTTTTTAGGCCTTAACAACCAACTTCAAAATTTGACCTCACTTGACCTGACCTTGACCTGACCTCGACCTGAAATTCATCCAGAGGTGGTCCATATCACTTATTGAGTGTGCCTATTGAATTCTATGAGTAAAATGACCCATAAAACATGTGTCGCACATGCCCTTTTCTATATTTTGTTTTTTGGTGACCTGACCTGACCTGACCTGACCTTGACCTTGACCTCTGAATGATATTGTATGCAACGAATATTGTCTTGGTAGCCTAAGAACACGTTTTGGGCGATCAGTCTCAGTCCATGACTCCATTCTTCGGCAACTACGGTGTAAGGCCGATACTGTAGAAACTTGCAATTTGTACCCTTGACCTGACCTTGACCTTGACCTCAAACTTTAAATTAAGTACATGTTTTTAGTAGTTCGTGATGAGTGCTTTCGATTGGCGTTTGAATTTTCCAAATCGGACCATTAGTTCGGGAGATAACAGTGGGGGTAAAATTTACCCCCCCCCCCCCCAGCCCCGCGCGTTCGGCTGGAGACCCCAGCCCCGCGCGGGTTAAAAAAGAGGCCAAAAACAATTTATACCTGCAAAAATCCTTCTAGGGGTAGTAGTCAAAACAAGGCGAGCTCATCAAGCAAAAAACACAACTTCTTGTAACAACCTCTGCTGATGAATCAAACACCATATTCACAGAAATTAGCACACAGACAGTGAGTAAAAAGAAGCATCTTTCATGGCAAACACCTTACTTACTCATCTTAACACTTGCATAGGCGCTGTGGAGCAACACTCACAGGATATGAAATCACTCGATTCTACTCAACTCAAGTGTAATGCATGCACTCGACTAGGTCTGTGCATGCAATACACCTGAGAACACCTGAGTACAGAGTATCCTTGGACACATGTTAACACTTGGCACCCGACTTAACGCCTTAATACTAACACTTAACACTAGGTACACCTGCTAGCGTCAGAACACGTCAGTCATGAGTTTACCCCAGCATCAGTTTGCATGGTGAGAGCTCCTCACTCTTGAAGTGGAGCCTGCCCCCCCCCCCCGTCCATGTCAGACTGGCTTAGATTGCACACCAGCTGGTCGATCTCTGTTACACCCCTATCTTGTAGCGCAAAATGTATGCAGTGTATTTTGGTGGGGTTACTTTGATCAACAAGTCTTTTGAACAACAAGTCAGGCATGCATGTCACCGGGGCTACATTGAACACGTTCAAAGTCACCCCAGCGAAGTTCCAAAAATGTCATGCTTTTACAAATCCCTTCACAGCATTGGCCATGCTCAAGCAAGCTAAAAAATTATGATGGGGCAATATAGGCCAACCATCGAGAATGGCAAAAATATGTCATTCCGTTCCATGACCATAATGACTAGTCCATGCCATATGGAAGTTTACGGGTATATCTCAAAAAGCTAAAAACATTGATTTAGTTTTTGATTGTTTACTCCTATGTACTAAGGTACATATCTTCCAATATGTCATGTATATTTTCAAATATGTGCATTCTTATCTGTAAAAAAACATGGCTGCATTTATAATTCATATTTTTAAGATATTTGTGATTTCCTCTAAGAAGTGAACGGCGTTCAAAGTCACCCGGAAGTTCAAAGCCACCCCAGTTTACGGTACTTTCTGAGGGAGGGGAGGGGCTGGATGGGGCTGTTCTGGTCGTGAGTATACTCTCTGGGGGAGGGGAGGGCTGGATGGGGCTGTTCTGGTCGTGAGTATACTCTCTGAGGGAGGGCGGGGGCTGGATGGGTGGGTTTGGACTGTTGGTATATTGGAGGGGGAGCAGTGTAGCAGAGTTGTATTTTGCTTAGGTGTCAGAGCCCAGAGGCCGGATTCCGCTCCAAAAAAAAAAAACGGATAAGAGTGAGATATCACTGGTCGGATAGGACCCAAAAGAGTGGGAAAAATTAATAGCATATTTTTATACAAGTGTGGAATGCAAAACGATCGTCCACACAGTTTTTCTCGATAAAATTGGGGTTTTGAGGTGAAAGTGCAAAATGATTCTCACTTGGTTGTCATTTCCCAACCAAATCACCAAATTTTGGGACACTCCCTCTCTCTCTCTCTCTCTCTCTCTCTCTCTCTCTCTCTCTCTCTCTCTCTCTCTCTCTCTCTCTCTCTCTCTCTCTCTCTCTCTCTCTCTATCTCTATCTCTATCTCTATCTCTATCTCTATCTCTATCTCTCTATCTCTCTATCTCTCTATCTCTATCTCTCCCCTACTCTCTCTCTCTCTCTCTCTCTCTCTCTCTCTCTCTCTCTCTCTCTCTCTCTCTCTCTCTCTCTCTCTCTCTCTCCGCGTAACTATCACCAAACATTACCAAGCTCCAGTCGCTGCGGAGAGCTGGTGACTGGTTTCGTTGGCCGACTGCCAGTCGCCTGACCGCCTGACCCATGAGCAAGGCGGCTGGACTCTGGACGGGACTCGGGAGAGATTGTACGATAATATTCAACGTGAATCACTGGCTCGGAGAGTTTGGTGTTTATATCGATTGACGGTTCGTCCCTGATAGTTATGTATGCCGTCATTAGCCAATGGCTATCCCTCGTTATCAGTGGTTCTTTTCCTCCTCGCTGACTCGACAAGGCTTACCTCCGAGGACTAAATACTGCTTCGTCCTCTTCCGCTAAACGCGCTGTCGATCTAGATGTTTATTGACGATTTCGAGGGGTGTGCTCCCAAAGCCCTCGGACTAAGGAAATATGCAGGGTAAAAATGCACCCGCCTGCTGCGGCTTTGGCCGACGAGCGAATGAGGGCGGTTCCCGGAGCTGTGTAATCCAATGCGGAGGGGCGCCGCTCCGTCCTAAACGTCGCTTGACAATAGGGTGCAACGGTAGTAACAGGCGCCATTCACTTTATTCCAGTTGTCACCAAACCTTTCGTTTGAAATCTATTGTCATTTTTAGAGGAGGAATTTCAGTGATCGTGGTTACGCCACATAAGATGGTTCTATTATCCCAAATCAGGTCTGACTCGAGTGCTAGGGACTCGCTTGTTTTCATACTCGCTCGCTCGCTCGTCATTCAATGTAGTACATCGCTAACATCCCACACTGCCTTATACAGTACCTACAATACTAGAGACCAAACTAGAACTACAACTACATAACTACAACATTGATATGTCTTAGCGTAGGCATCGGCTGAAATCCGGCATTTCATGAAATGCCTAACCTTGAACCTGCTTGCACGTCCTACATAGCATATCAAACCATTAGACCTAGCCTTACGTGTTATGTGAAAAGCAAATTGGTTAGATAAGGTTAGGTTACATTAGGTAAGGTCGGGTTAGGTGTTGTTTAGGTTTGGTGCTGAGCTAGCGCCAATAATGCAACCCAAACATGGGATGAAATCCGGCATTTCATGAAAAGCCTAGGATTTCCACGTAAAGCCTGGATATTTCAAGAAATGCCGGATTTCACCTGATGCCTGCGACAGATACATCATCAAACCTGTAACGCATCTGACATCCCTCAATTTATTCCCCACTGCGTACAACTGCATCAAGGTGTAGTTCTATCTAGCTCTTCTACAGGACTACAACATTGAAACAGCGTCGAACCTGCAGCATATCTAACGTCCAAAAATATCTTCCACAGAATCTACAACTACATCAAGACATTATCAAACCTGCAACATATCTTACATCCCTCATCTTCTTCCACAGAACCTACAAACAACTACATCAAGACCGCCTCCAACCTGCAACATATCTGACATCCCTCATCTTCTTCCACAGGACCTACAACTACATCGAGACCGCCTCCAACCTCAAGCACGGCACAGACTACTCGCTCTTCAAGCAGGGAGTCAAACCAATGTGGGAAGACTCGAAGAACAGGAATGGAGGACGGTGGCTCATCTCGCTGGATCGCTCGGACAAGCAGCGGCGGGAGCGACTGCTGGATGTGTACTGGCTCGATGTGGTGAGTGTTTGTGGATTTCTTGGCTCTATTAGACACTCGAGTAAATGTGGTGAGTCTAGCTTGGAATGATTTTTATGACAGGACTTTGCTGTTTTATACGCGCTGCGGAAACTAAACGCTGTAGGCTTCCGTCTCACCTAAAAACGGAAGCAAAAGTCTGGCAACTAATGTCTGGACAATTACACACTGGTAATGGCAAATTCATTTAAAGTGTCGACAAATCTCTGACTCAGCTATTATAATGAGCGAACGGAAACTACAGATCTCACTCCTCCGTGGTGTTCCGTATCTGTCAAACCCACTCATACCCTTTCTATTCGTCCACTTAACGCTATATAATGCTGCATTTAATGTTCGACGCCACGTTTGTCGTCGTCACACATTTTCTACACAGTTAACGTCTTTCCCTGTATCAGATACGCCGCGAGATACGCCCGGGGCTGCAGAGTCGGAGTCTGAGTCGATTTTTGGAAGCCAGCATAGGAGTTTTGAGAGTTACCGAAAATCCATCGACTACGCGGACCTTCCAAATACAGTAGACTTTGAGACGTCCGACGTCTATCTGAAATGGCGGTTTGAACGTTCCATTCAGTCTTACCTTTTCGTCGTAACGGGTTTCGCTTCATCTGTATATCTTATTCGCCTCGTGACACCTCGCTAGGTGGCAGCACTGTAGAACCGTATAGATAGGATAGCGAATATGGCGCACGAGTTACGAATACCGGCAAACATGTATTTCTGTATCAGCTTCAGTGGAAATTGGGGTTGGGGGAAGCTGATTATTATCGATTTTGATTCCTTTTATGTAACGTTTTGGGTTTTTGACCTTTGGAGTAAATTACCCTGCTATCCCTAGTGAATATCATACAGCATTTGGCTGCATAAATCGCCATGACCTTTGACTTATGGTCTCAGTCTGAAGCAGCTTACACAGACGCATTGGCAATTCATTGAATTCGTTAAATGATCTTGTTTCCATTATTAGAATGGATATATTTCAGGCAATAAGGTGCATATGCAATCTTTCATGTTGTAGCAATAGCATGGTATGACAATGACATGACCACACAAGTACGAAAGACAGGACTCAGACTACAACTAGTGGCATTTGACCGAAATCAGAAGTCAGAAGTGATGGCTGCCAACCCGATGCCACTGCTAACAGCAGCTGTTCCACTATGCTAGGGTTTCTGAGGCAGCTTCCAGCAGCAGGCTGCAGCCCTGGAAGGAAGGAACTGAGGAGTCTTTCTGCTAACCCTCAAAACCCACTTGCTGCTGAGAGGGCTGCTTGTTTCGAGGAGGTAGCTGAAGGGATTAGATAGACCTAAAATTAAGTCTGTTGTTGGCATGTGTGGTGCAGCACAATATGATACATGTGTTCTGCACATGTGTCCAGCAGAGCACAGAACATATTTAGCTCATTGCACCTCACCTCAGTCACCTCCTTGCTCAGCATTGAATTGACAAATGGTCTGCTCAGTGCTCTATTAGTTACAACCTCTGCTCAGTGCTTTAGAAGTTGGTGCAGTATTGGTGGCATTAGAGGCATTGTAATCAATGATACGTTCACAGCTGGCCTGAATTTGCACATCTATCTCTTTTGTTTCCTGAACTATATCAACATCATATGATCAATGCAAATGGTGTGAGAATACTACCTGGGAGAGGGAGGCAATCTGATTTCCTCGGGTGTTCATTCATACCTTCCCTTCAACAAGCCTGGGTACCCTGAGTTATTTTCATTGCCAGTTTTAGGCCATTTATCTTTCACATATGTAACTGATAACTGAATGGAAGAATGTAAAAGTCACAAATTTTTGGTGTCAGTGGTCATAAGGCTCCACCCTCTGAAGCCTTATGAATCTGAAGTGATAACTCAGAACTGAGTTTGAATTAGACAGATAACATATCCAACCCCCCATCATTGGGAGCAGAATCAGCCCCTTCTGAACCGAATACATCCCTCATTCCCTGCGCAGTGCTCAGGCTAGTAGCTACTGCCTTTTGGCCCTGACATGCAGATATCATTAGCAAAAAGCAATGTGAAATGAACATGTCCCTTCGCCTTCCGGGCGCCGTTCGAGCAGCTGGTTTTGTAAGTCTGTTCCATTCCATCCCACTGGTCAACAGGTCATTTGAAAGGTTGAGCGAACCCGCACTGAACTCACCGTTGGCCCGCACCAATCATTCTACATCGGCACCCGAGGGTCCACGCTGGTTTCTGAAGGAAGTTCCGACGGTAGTCAATGAGGACCTTATGAAGGTTTCCGAGAACTCTATGCCTATTTCTGAGGGCCCCACGTCGGCCTGTGACGGGCTATAAAAGGTGAATGTCTTATTTACCTTAAGTATTTACCTTAAGTAAAGGTCATTAGGTACCCTTTCGAGTAATCAGACCCTTTACTCAAGAGATGCCTCCTCTTCTTCTGACGAAGACGAGTAGACTGCCATGCTAGGTGAGGCCATACATTGATGGCCACGATGATCATTAGTATGAGAACTTGTAGTTGAACTTTTCAGGGTGGTCCTTCCATTCCTTCCCCAGTCTGTACTTGAACACATTGACATTTGGAGCATCGATGGTGTGGGTTGACAGCTTGTTCCATGTCTGAGTTACTCGTGCCGCAAAGAAGGCTTTTCTGGGTCCCAATTGATGCTGAACTTGAAGTTTTTGATCGTGACCTCGGGTGACACGGCTGAGAGAGTTCTTGAACATGCTGTTGTGACAACACGGGCACTCTCTTTGGAAGTCCACCTTGTCGAAGCCTTTCAAAATTTTGAAGGTCTCGATGATGTCCGACCGTTTCCGTCGGAATTCCAGAGTAGGTAAATTAAGGCTCCTGAGGCGATCTGAATATGAAAGGTGAGACAGTCCGTTCACCAGCCTTGTTGCCCGCCGCTGCACCTGTTCGAGTGCATCTTTGTCCTTTTTGAACTTGGGACTCCATATAACAGTTGCATACTCGAGGTGGGGCCTGACAATGCTTTTGTACAAGGCTTTGAAAATGTCGCTGTCAATGTTTGCAAAGGTATGCTTAATTGCACCAATAATTCTATTGGCCTTGTTAATCTGGTTAGTGACATGTTTTGAGAAGGATAGCTTCATGTCTATAGTGACTCCCAGGTCCTTTTCCTCACAGACTGCTTCAAGGGTATGTTTGCCTCCACCCATAGTTGTCATGGTATACTCACTTCCAGGATTTGTTGGTCCTAGATGCATGACCTTGCACTTGAGTGGATGAAAGATCATCTGCATTGTTTTTGCCCAATCTTGCAAAGAGTTGATGTCCTCTTGCAGATTGTGAAGTTCACCATCGCGCTCGTTGATGACTTGGTAGACCTTGGTATCGTCCGCAAACATAGAGATATGACAATTTAAGAGGTCGGGAACATCACAGACAAACATGGAAAACAAGAGAGGCCCGAGCACTGAGCCTTGCGGCACTCCACTTGTTACATACTCCCAGTCTGAGAGTGATCCATTGACGTTCACTCTTTGCCGCCTGCCTGTTAGAAAACTCCTTATCCACTGATGAGTCTTTGCATTCACCCCTAGAGCCTGGACCTGGGCTAGAAGCCGTTCATGGGGCACAGTGTCGAACGCTTTGGCATAGTCCAGAAACACAACATCCACTGGTAAGCTGTGGCTTAGCGCTTCCGTCCAAATATCAAGAGCTTCCAGTAGGTTTGTGACCGTAGATTTCCCTGTGATGAAACCATGTTGTTGGCGAGCGATAAGATTGTTTGTCTTCAGATGAGCGATGATGTCCTCGCATATGATCCTCTCCAGAATCTTGCATAATATTGATGTCAGTGACACTGGTCGGTAGTTCGCGGGATCACTTTTGTCGCCTTTTTTAAAGATTGGCGTGACGGTGGCCACCTTCCACTGCCGTGGAACTTCTCCAGTTTCAATACTTTTACAGAACAGAGATGTGATGGGTGTCGCAAGCTGGTCAGCAAGTTCGTGCAAAACACGAGGGTGCATGTTGTCGGGGCCTGGCGATTTATCAATCTTCAGTGTTTTCAGCTTGGCATGGACTCGCTGAACAGTTATCGCAACTTGCATCTCTGCCTCCAAAGGCTTTGGAGCTAGCGTTGGGATCGATGACTTGTCTTCCTTTGTGAAAACGCTTGCGTACTGATGATTCAATATATCAGCCTTGTGCTTGTCGTTAGTTGCCAGTTCACCATTAGCACTACGCAAGTCCGAGATACCACATTTTGATTTCCTGCGACGGTTGACGTAGTTCCAAAACACTTTGTGATTTCCTTTGACTTCTTTAGCCAGCTTCGACTCGAATTCTCGCCTTGCTTTCCTGGTCGCGTGGGTAGCTTCATTTCTTGCCTTGACATAACTTTCGTAATCATTACTGTCCTTGGTGTTCAGAAAACGAACCCAAGCGTGATGTTTTTTCTTCACCATTCTAAGAGCACTCCGATTCATCCACAGGGGATTTCCTCTTTTCGCTTTCTTGTTGGTGTCCAGCTTGGGCACGTACCTATCCATTAAATCCGTGATCGTATGTTCAAGCGTATCTGCCATCTCATGTACAGATTTGCCTTCAAATAGTCCTTGCCAGTCAACGTCCAGTGCTTTCCTCATTTCTTCATAGTTGGCTTTGTGGTAATTCAGTACCGCACTCTTTCTTACTGGAACGTAAGGGACAAACGATATAGCGAATGAGACACTGGCATGATCGCTTGCTCCAACCGGGTCTCCAATTGTCAGTTGTTCCACCAAGTCTCGCTCATTTGTAAAGAGTAGGTCATCGAGAGTAGAGCGCTGTCCATCTCTGTATCTTGTTGGCTCTGTTATATGCTGTAGAAAGTAGGTATCGTGTATACATTCGATAAACTTACGAGCTGGGCTGTTCTGGCTGACACCTTCTGGAACTTCTGGGTCCGGGGTCCAGAAAATCTCTGGGTGGTTAAAGTCACCGACTATAACCTTGTGCGAATGATTTGTGGATGCTGCCCAGCCAAGCATTTTGTGAAGATCAGAATCTTGAGGAATAGCTTTACTTGGTGACCCGCTTCTGTAGATCACCCCAACAAGCATACTTGCTCCACCCCGGGCATTAATCGTAATCCAGGTGCAATCCTGAAAGTTGCAGTCTCCCGTGGGATAAACTTGTTTGGCCATCAGATTCTTTTTTACATAAATTCCCGTGCCCCTAGTAGCTCCGGCTGAAAAGTTGCTAGTAAATAATTCGTAATCGGGCAGTTCCATTACAGGGTGTTCAGGCATCAACCCAACTTTAGGTTTCATTTCTGTTAATGCAAGAATATCATAGCTCTCAAGTGCAGTGAGTGCCAGCATCGCGTCGTATTTACTCATAATAGAATTGTCGATGTTGGCATAAAACACTTTCAATGAGTTAACAGTATGGGTTACAGGCTTGGCAGGTTTCTTGTCGTCTTGAATGTCTAGTCTCGCTGTGATGGAACCATGACAATGTCGTTCCGTTTGATCATCCATCTCTTTTCTGGGAAAGCTTGGCGCTTTTCCTGGAGCAGTGCTCGCAAGTTTTTTGAAGCTTCAAGCTGGCATTTTGTCAGATCTGGACGGATAAAGACACTAGCATACGTTTCGTCATGGCTTGTTCGCAAATCCTTCGCTTTAGCCAAGATCAGCTTCTTCTCACTCAGCGCTTCAAGTTTCACTCTCAGTATTCTGGAACCTGTGTCTTTCTTCTTTCCAAGCCGTGTCGCCTCCTGTAACTTCACAGATAGTTTAAACTCAGATTTGATCATTTCTTTGAATGCTGTAATGTCTCCTTCGCTGCTACCGGTCTCAGGGAGGTTGAAAACTGCCAAGTTGAGTTTCCTATTTTCGATGTCTTCTAGTTCACTGAGACCTCTCTTCAGGGCTCTGGTATCAGTGTCCTTTTTTACTAGGTTTGACTTCACAGTCACGGACAGTTCCTCTAGTCTGGTTTCCAATGCTGTCATGCTAGCTGCTGCTTGAGCGTAGCTAGGACTGCGCACTTCTGCTGATGCCGACCCACAGCTTTTTTCCACTTCTTGCAATCTTTTTTCGAGCTTTGCTTGGAGGGCAGCGATCTTTTTGTCATTTTGTGTGACGTTGGCATTGGAAATGGCTTCGATGGCGTTGACTCTAGCCTGCAGCTCCTTTTGCCCCGCCTCAAGCTTCTGGTTAGTCTGTGATATATCAGCTCTCAATCCGGCAATCCCAGCAGAGTTTTGATCGGATGCAGTGGCGAGCCGATCGAGTTCGGATTTGATGGACAGCTGCTCTCGCTGCAACGCTATGATCTGAAGTCTCAGTTGCTTAGCTCCCTCCTTGCATGCCCGACAGAACCACGCGCAACTGTCCGCATCATCCCCAAGGGCTTCGTACAGTTTGTCCGATACTCCTTGGCAAACAACATGGTATCTTAACAAGCACACCCCACATTCCAGTGATCGGTCTTCGGCGCCCATTTCCATCTGACAAGAGCCACACATGCCGGCATATGAATTCATATGAATGCTCGGCATATGAATGCGCTTAAGATCTCAGGGCGGTTCCAAAGCATCGGGTGGTACCTACCTACGTAGAAAACCGTTACGGCGAGGGTTCAGACAATGTGCCCGGAACCTTGCTCTTTCGGCGGATTGCAATATCCTTATCGGCCGCCCTTACCGCCCTAACATTGGTTGTGATCACCAATACTGCTTACGAAGTGCCACGGGACGCTTTGTTCAGGGCCCTTTTGACCGTGAAAGGATGTATGATGGGCTATGCGAATCATTATTCGTGATCTATGAGGAATTTGTCGTCGAATTATGTGCATTGCTTTCCAATTTTGAAAGAAATAGTACTCGAAATCCGAGGTCTCGTGAGATTAGACCGGCCGGTCTGCCTGCGGAGCGGCCGCCGGATCCTACCTATAGTAGTTCAGGAAACGGCCACCAGATGTCAGCCACTTCTGAGTCACGAGGCGAATCTACTAGTCTGAATTAGGCAACGTTGTTATCGAATCTAAGCTGTTTGACTGATAATGGATGTGCAACTGCCTCGTCCAACTCTCAGTCAATTCTAACTATGCTGCATGTTTCGTTTGTTCGCTTTTCCCCCTCTCGCTCTCTTGTTTCTCCACCCTCCCTTACCTCCTCCCCCTCAGTTTCCAGCCCTACTTTTGGTAATGACACTTTCTGCCCTTCCTCTTTCTTTATCTTCGTTTCTGTCCCCTCTTGTTTCTTTTTCCTTTGCTGCTTACGATTTTATAGCATTTCCTGTATTTCTCTCGACTCTTCTCTCTCTCTCTTATTTGCCTAGTCAGCTAACCGGACTGTCTGATGTCTCCCTCTTTAGTAAAATGATCGGTGAATCTTTCCGTAACGCCGGTGATACAGTGTCAATCAGTCAGTCACTCAGCCTGTGTCTATCTAGTCTATGTCAATGTAGTCTGATTGTAACCTCTCTCCATTTCTCAGATGCTGCTGATGATCGGCGAGGGTTTCGGGGACGCCGGTGAGACCGTCTGTCTGTCTGTCTGTCTGTCTGTCTGTCTGTCTCTCTCCCTCTGTCTAACCCTCCCCTCTCCTCGTTTCTTAGATGCTGCTGATGATCGGCGAGGGTTTCGGGGACGCCGGTGAGACCGTCTGTCTGTCTGTCTGTCTGTCTGTCTGTCTGTCTGTCTGTCTGTCTCTCTCCCTCTGTCTAACCCTCCCCTCTCCTCGTTTCTTAGATGCTGCTGATGATCGGCGAGGGTTTCGGGGACGCCGGTGAGACCGTCTGCGGAGCGGTGGTCAATATCCGGAACAAGGGAGACAAGATCGCCATCTGGACTGGGGACGCCAAGCGGGCCGAGGAAATCACCAAAATCGGGTAAGGAGGGTAAAGGAAGTGGGGAAGAAGGGAGCGCAATGGAGGGAGGAAGGGAGTGGGGAGAGGGTTACAAGGGGGATAAGATAGTCAAATCGAACGGAGACGGCAATTAGCGAGCCGAGGAGATCACCAAAATCGAGTAAGGAAAAGGAGTGCTTGAAAACGTAGAATGAATGAATGAATGAATGAATGAATGAATGAATGAATGAATGAATGAATGAAAGAGAGAATGAATGAATTGTGAATGAATAAACGAAAGAATGAATTGTGAATTACTGAGTGATCGAGTGGATAAATGAAAGAATGAATTATAAATGAGTGAATGATTTGATGAATGAAACAAGGAAGGAGGACGATGAAACCAGAACAGAGGGAAGGATAGACGTCAAGCGACGAGTGGTGGACTCCATGACCCTTCTATCACCGGATGAGGGGCGGGTAACTGGTAATGGAACAACTGTATGATGGAGGGGATGCATGCAAGACACGAACGAAGGGATAAGATAGCCATGCCATGTGGACGGGTGACGCCTAGCGTGCGATGGATATCGCCAAAATCGGGGAAGGGGGGAGAAGGAGGAATGGAGGGAGGTGGAAGGATAAACAGACCGTAGATGTTGCTTGCACGTTGGATCGTGGTAACTTTCAGAGATCAGGGATGGGGAGAATCAGGGTGAATGGGGAGTACTTAGAGAGAGATTGACTGTTAACGAACGATGAATGGGTCTCATTAGTCCTTGCCCCCTCTCTCCCCTCCCTCCCTCTCCCTCTCTCTCTCTCTCTCTCTCTCTCGCTCTCTCTCTCGCTCTCTCTCTCGCTCTCGCTCTCTCTCTCTCTCGCTCTCTCTCGCTCTCGCTCTCGCTCTCTCTCTCGTTCTCTCTCTCTCTCTCTCTCTCTCTCTCTCTCTCTCTCTCTCTCCCTCGCTCCCTCTATCCCTCCCTCCATCCCTCTCGACTGACACCATTCTCTTCTCCTCCGTCCACAGTCAGCGACTGAAGGAGGTGCTCAACATCAACCCCAAGATCACTATCGGCTACCAGGCCCACTCCGACACCATGGTGAAGTCTGGGAGCATCGCCAAGAACCGCTATGTCGTCTAACAGCGCCGTACGAGGCTGGGGAGGCGCCGCCGCCACTGGTGATGATGCTGCTGCTGAAGTTGCTGAGGTTGATGAGGATGTTGAAGTTGGTCATGCTGATGCCGTTGATGCTGATGCCGTTGATGCAGTTGAAGCTGTTGATGCGGGAGCTAGTGATGCTGAAGTTGGTGATGATAATGATGCTGCCGGTTGATGTTTGCGTCTGTCCAGCGCCGGTTGTGGCAGTCTGTTTACTACCTGGTTGATCAACTGATAAGCCTGGCGTAAGGCTGGAAAGCCCGACTACGACGACAGCTGATAACTTTGTGGGTGATAGATCGGTCCGTGATAGACTGCCAGAGCAAGGGAGCCTGTGGCGGGAAGGCAATCAGTAGCAACATCAGCAATAGCAACGGCGACATCAACATGAACAGCATTAGCATCAACAAGAACTGCCAGCGTGTACGCTTGCTAAATATTACTCGCACGTTGTGGGGGTTTTGAAAGCCCTATTGTGTCTGTGCATATCAGGCGTTCGCGGGTTTAAACGTCTCAACCTGGGGCGCTCGTTAGCATAGACGGAAAACCGGCTGTTTCGTGTCAGAAGCCATGGCAGAGACTGTCCTTGTTGGGCTTGAGAGCCCTCGATTATTACATTGTGTCATATTTGAAAAAAGAGTCCGGGCAGCAAAAAAAGCATCAACAAGAACAGCATCAGCAACAACATGAGCATCATCAACTTCAACAGCAGCAGCAGCAGCAGCGGCGGCGGCGGCGGCGGCGACCTCATTCACCGCTCCACAGCAGTGTATAGGCTGGGCGGCGCGGTGCCCCCAAAAGGGCTCTACGACGCGGTGCCCAAAGGGTTCTACGCTCGGAGCCCAAAAGGCAAGGTAATGCAGTGGACCGGTCGCCGCAAATGCTAAGGACATTAATGGGTTGGGAAGACTCGATGTGACGGAGAGCGACGGTGGCGCCGTGCGGCGGCCGATCGGCGAAACTGCTGCCTGTGATAGTGACACGAGGGAGAGTGGTGGAGAAAGGGAGAGTGGTGAGAGGGAGTGGTGGAGAGTGAGGAGAGACAGAGGGAGCGAGTTAGCCGGCGAGAAGCGGCTCGTGTGAGAAAGCTGTGTAACACGCTCGGGCGAAAGTGGTGGCTGTTTCGAAGCCGGAGTAGCGCTTGTAAAGCGAGCGTTTCATAAAGCAAGGCGTGTGGTGTGGAGTTGTGTTGGCCGCAGGCTAGCCAGCGTATAAACGAGCGAGGGAAAGAGCTAAAATCGTGACAAGGGAAAGAGAGAGGAGAGACTAGTGCGGCGTTTGTTGCGTTCTTGAGGCGTTTCGCCTCAAAACACGTGTGCTGTCTTCTCCAAGGTGTGTTCTTTGTGTAACCTGAAGTGAGAGCGCTGTATAGACGAGAGCGAGAAAGAGGGTGGGAGGGACGGCCGGAGGGGCCCCGAAGAGGGGCTCGGAGGCCGCACTGCCTAGGCCGCCACCTGCCCCCGAAGTGGCGAAGCTAGCCACTTGGGCTCGTAGAACATCCGCTGTGTATGTAGCCTATCATTATTGTTGCTGTGTTTAATAAGTATGTGAGTGTGTGAGTGAGTTTGAGGTTGTCCATGTTGGTAATTCTAATAGAGATATGGTTACTTTGGATCAGCTGCTTGTGTTGAGTGGGCGAGACGGTGCGAGAGTAATGGGTAATGAATACGCCTGACGCGTTACGTACAACCTGGAGTGTTGGGTTTTCTTTTCGCTTAGATTATCTTTCATATCTTTTCGTATGAACTTGGGCCGTAATGTTATCGAAATTCTGTTATAAGGGACGCATGAAGTTATCGTGGCAGATTTTATGTCGGCGTGCGTTTGGATTTCGGATTAGTTGGGATTCACACTGGTTAATCGGCACGTTTGAGCGATGGTCATAGCTACGGTGAACCTGGTGCGAGTTCCATGCATGAGTCCGCTATTGAAGAGTAGTTAAAAGCTTATGAACACTGGAAACTCACTGGAACACTGAAACACTGAAAGTGAACGCTGGAACGAACACTGGAAGCGCAACTCGTACTTTTGATCTTATGATGAGACATGCTACTGGGTAACTAGGCACTCATTTATAGCTTAGACATTCTGTGTGCTTTTTGAACAGTTTCTTAAGACTACGTACTATGCGATCTATGACTGATTATTTAGTTTCGTTCATCAAATCGTGAATGGCGTGTTGCAAAGTGTACCTTAGCCGATCACGCGAAAAGGTAAACTGATTTAAATTAGATGAATAATTTCGACGGAAGTGGTTCACGCTCGAACCGCAGGTGCAACTGCATTTGTTCAAAACGTGAAGCTTAGCGAAAAATATTTCGATTTTCGTGTTTGTTAATTTTGAGTTTGATGATTCATTATTTTTCGTTCACCTTGGTCAAATGACCGATAAATTAATATGTTAGATATGTAACGGGTCTGTTTTTTGTTTCGATAATGGCTCCTGACAAATTCGGCACTGTCCTGTTTTTAAGTGTTATCATTCAGTTCACCAGTCTCGCGCACTCTTATAATGTAGACGAAAACTTTATGAAGCAACTAGAAGAGTACAAGCAAAGGTATCACGAAATAAAAAATGCAGAGCAGAAGTATACAGGCGCAAAGGAGATACCATATGGTGAGCTAAAACCTTACTTTGATATTACAATTCCTGAGATACGTGAAATGTACGATGACAGCGTGAAATCTTACGTGTACAAATATTACGTCGACAAGAATGTTCAGGTGTACAAGAAGTACCTATTCCAGCAAGTCATCGACGAATGGTTCCTGCACGTGCCATGCTACACAATGAAGAACATCGGCGAGGGAGCCGCTCTAAAATGTCCTCCCGACAATCCTGACCTCGGGAAGGGTCAATTCGGCATCCCATTCAAAGGTTCTGCCTGCGTTACCGATCAATTCGGTTGCTCCCTTCAATACCTCCCATCCTACGAAATGTACGTCATTTCGATCGACGACCTGCGTCGTTGCGGGCCCGGCATGATCCACTCATTTGTGGCGAAAACTCTAGGCGTGCGCAGTCCGATCCAAGAGCCCGATCGAAACGAGCACGTCACCGTCAACTTTGAAAACGTCGACATAGGCCTGCTTCCTTCATCCTTCGATGATCACAACTGGCGCGAATTGGTCGCTCCGCAGTTGGAGGATCTCGACAGCTGTCGCAAAACTACCGAGGAGATTTACCAGATGAAGACAGCCACCTTCCCGAAAGGAATCTTTGACTATGGTTCGGTGCTCGTCCCAGGAACTTTCCAGTACTCCGACCCCCTCGATCCGCGTGCCGTAACCGTCACCAAAGAAATCTACGAACAAGTACGACTGGATCGCTCCAAATACGGTCACGACTTCCGCCTAGCGCTGACGGGAAACGACCTCTTCCGCATGCGCTTGTTCTTCACCTGTGGCGTCAACGGCAAGTGCTTCCACAAGAACGGCGTCTGCAAGAACATGGGATTCATCGGAGCAAGTCCTCTTCTCGACATCGGCTTTAAACACGACCAGGGTGTCAGTTGTGAATGTTTTTGCCCCTACTCTGACCTCAAAGGACAATTCTGCGAGGTCAACGCCTTCATGAAGTATAAATTCCTGGACACGAAGGCAATGTGTTTCAAGTTTATCACCAAGAACGGTAAATTTGATGTCGAGGAAGAGCGAGGAGAGCTGGAGACAGAGCGAGGGAGGAACGTGCTTGCGCCCGGCGCAAAAAGCTCGTTCGTCTACGCCAAGAAGGACATCTTCTCTGATGCAGTAAGTACCGTAATTAATAAATTAAAATAAAAGTTAATGTGCGTAAAGTTAATCATTTCGTTATCAGTTGCCGAACTCTGAAAATTCGTTATGTGAAGTGCCATTTGATAATTCGCAGCAGTTGCATGTGCCCTGAGAATGCGTGTGACAGTGTCCGCGTTTCCCTATGAGACTTTATAATATTACCTCTGTACCGCTTCCCTCGACTTTCTCTGTATCGTAGTCCCATGATCCCTACATTACCCAACTTACCCTACGTTACCCCATAACCCCACGTTACCAAACAACCTCACGTTACCCCATGACCCCTCGTTACCCCATAACCCCACGTTACCCCATGACCCCACGTTACCCCAAAACCCCACCTTACCCCATTCCCCACCACAGGAAGCCGGCCAGCTGACCCAGGACCAGGACAAGTTGGTGGCCATGTTCCACCCTCCTGCCGAGATGAAGAAAATGGGCGGACTGGCCGTGGCGCCGGACGTGTGGGTCTCCAAACAATGGTAGGTGAAAAGGATAGAGGGAGGTGTCATGGATAAATGGGAGGAATGGTGTACAAACAATGGTAGGTGAAAGGGATAGAGGGAGACGTGTCATGAAGAAAATGGGAGGAGTGGTCGCTGCACAGTGGTGGGTGAAGGGGATAGAGGTGTCATGAATGAAATGGGAGGACTGGTCTCCAAACAAACGAGGGGTGTAAACATACAGGGATGTATCATGGAGAAATGGGAGGAGTGGTCTCCAACAATGGTAGGTGAAAGGGATATAGGGAGTTGTCATGAAGAAAATGGGGGATTGGTCTTCAAACAACGGTGGGTAGATAAACGGTTACCGTAAGAGCCAAGGCCAATGCCCTATCTTATATATGGGTAAAGTTTGCCGTTAATAGCGTTTGGTAGGTACTGTCAATGGTAACGACTTCGAGCTCGAGATTAACTCTGAGCTCAAGAAAGTGTATTTTCATCTAGAGTCTGACCTTTGACCTCTAGTATGACCTTCGAATTTTACTCTAGCATTTCATGACCTTTGATATTTGTCGTTTGGTGTGCCCTATGTTATCTAGCATGACCTTTGATGACGGCCAGTCTAACCTCTGACCGATAGTTTCGACCTCTGACCGATAGTCTTGACATCTGACCCAAGTCTGACCTCTGACCCCCAATTTGACCTCTGCTGACCTCACTGCTCGCCTCAGGTGCACGTTTATTTGGGCTCCGCCGGCCACCAAGAGAGCCGTGGTTACAGTCGACCCTTCTCGACTCTGGGAGTCCAAGGTAAGAGTCACGACTCTGAGATCACGACTCTGAGAGTCTAGAGGAAGAGTCACGACACTTGACCCCGGAAGAATTAGTGGTACGTTTTTGGTAGGTAGTCAAAGGTTAAGGACTTCAGTCACCAGTGGGCAGTGTTAAGTTTTAAGTTTGGACTAACGTCGGAACAATAGGCCGCGACTTTTAACTTTGACTCTGTCATAGCTCCAGAAAAAGAGCCTATAGAGTCAAATAAGAGTCACGCATAGAATGTTTTGAATCGGAGACGATATTCCTGGTTTGTGACCAAACTATTGCTGAACTTCCATTCTGAAAACATATGTAATGCATTACCTAAGACAACACACCCCTTTGAGACCAATGCCTTACGTATCCCGTAGTCACAAGAGGCACTGTCCAGTGTCCACAATCCCCATTGCACAGTAACGACCGTTTACTTTATCCAACAGGAATTCACGCAGGCTCTTCCCGAGATCACTAAAAGTCTCATCGAGAAGCGGGGCGACTGCCAGCGCGCGCTGAAATTCGTCCATTCACACGGCCCGGATCCAGCCAAACTGCGAGTGAAGTGTTTCTCCATCATATACTTTAGTCCGGAGAGACCGTATATGATATGGAGTAATACCAGTGCGCTTTCAGCCTACATCTACTGGGATTGGTGAGTGAAATGTGGAGAGGTGAGGGAATATACTTCGACAAATGGGTAATGAACGGGATACTTCTACTGGAACTGTCAGGGGAGTTGCGAATGTAATTGGAGAGGACAAACCTTGATTAGGTGATCAATGGTGACTACATCTACTGTGAGTAGTGGGAAATGAAGGATCAGTAGAAGCAGCTGATGAGACACATGGGTGTTAGAATGTATTCGAAATAAACCTCGCAAATATTTTTTTGCGAGGTGAAACGTTTGCCGTTTCACCGGTCTCAGTAAAGGCTACTTTCCGTACAGAGCTAATCGGTAATCTATTCAGTGATAGCCAGTCTTTATTCCATTCTAAGTGGCTCCACAAAATGACTCCTGCACTGCGTCTGGTATTCCAGGTATCTTTCTCAGGGTATTGCCCGCCAGCTGAAGCACGCCATGAAGCTCACACTGATCACAAAGTTCGAGTTGGCGCCAGACCAGACCCTGGGAGCCAAACCGTCCGGACCGCCGCCTAAACTGGTGGAGAGACCCGATCCGCCGGTAAGGAGAGAGGGAGGGAGAGAGAGAGAGAGAGAGAGAGAGAGAGAGAGAGAGAGAGAGAGAGAGAGAGAGAGAGAGAGAGGGAGGGGGAGGGAGAGAGAGAGAGAGAGAGAGAGAGAGAGAGAGAGAGAGAGGAGAGAGAGAGAGAGAGAGAGAGAGTGAGAGAGAGAGAA